ATGTTACTGGAGTTGTGGAAATTGTTGATAATGGTAATGTTGATGTTGTTATTCCTAACCTTGTTGGGGATAACGATTGAGTTTCTGATCATGTGGTTCATCCTGAAACTTTTCATGTGGTCGTGCCAAGTACTGATCCTTGTGATGTTGTCATAGGGGATGTTGTTGTTTCTACTGAGGATGTTGTTGATTCATCATTTTCTCTTTTGCATATAATTCCTTCTTATGGTGTCAATGCAGATGTTGTTGTGGTTATGGAAACTGACCCATCTATGACATATTGTATATCACCAGATTCTTCGAAAAATGGTGTAGATTCTGTTCCTTTGGCAGATTTAGTTTATGATGTGCCTATTCATAATGATATTGGCTTGGCTGTTCAGCATCTAGAAACCGATGGTATGGATTTGAATGATGAATAGCCTATTTTAAATGATCCTACGTACTTCTTTTGTCCCTAAGGATGGTTCGGCTGGTAGTATGGAACCGAAAGATAATACTACGATTGTTGATGTTCCTGTTGTGATTATCTCTGTTGACGAGTTAAATAATCAATTGGCTTCCTATTTTTTTATAAAATTGTGTAGATCAATCTGATTGGCTGGAGGAATCCTTTTCTCTGCCTTGCGGGGACATTGGGGATGAAATGGATGAGCCGGAGGATGATTTTCAAGAGTTCTATAATTTGAATGTAAGTCGTATTGTTCAAAAAGTATTTTCTCATGGTAGTGGCAAATGTCAGAGGCGTAAATCAAAAAAGAAGTAATTGTTGATTGTCTTGGTGTTTCTGTTGTCATGCATTCTCTCTTAAGATTCTTCTTTTTGTGTGTCAGGGGTCCTTGGCTGTTGGTACTCAATCGGTGGTGGTTTGGTCTGTGCACTTGGTTGTTGAATTAGATCTTTTCTTTGCTTGATTTTGGTGCGTTCCCTCCTATGGGTTTCTGACATGTTGCTGCTTGGTGGGGGTTATCTTGGAGTATTATTTGTTGCCTCTTTTTCTTCTTCCTGTTTTTGTTTGGAATTCGCAGGTGGACTCTTCTTGCTTGCTATGTCATCGTCTGTTTGCAGGTGGACTATTTTTGCTAGCTATGGTTTCGTCTGTGGATTGTGCTGGTTGTTAGTTCTGCTCTTTTGGATGGTTTTTAATTGTCATTTTATTTTGGTATATTGCAATAGGTAGGATCACTGGCTCGTAGGTTTGTTTCGAAGGCTGAATTTTTAGAGAGCTTTGTGGTTATTTAAGGACATGCAAATTTTCTTTAATTGAACGCGTAAGCCCCTCTGCGGGTTTTCTCAAAAAAAAGAAAGAAAGAAAAGCTTCCTAATTTATTCGATAATCAAATACCAATTAAATCTCAATCAAATTACAAATTTAGAGAAATAATCAATTATCTAAATAATTCATTAATTGAAAATCAATTATTCCCAAAAGAAATCTGATTTGATTTTGGAAATAAATCCAAATTAACAAAATGGGCACTTAATCAATTAAGATTTTATTTGAGGGAAATTTAAACATTTCTATTTTTACTTTTAAAAGCTCTTTTCTCAATCACAATTTCAAAAATTCTTTTCAAAAGCAAACTTTAAAAGGCAAAAGTTTAAAATAGCATAAAAAATCTATCTGTAAAACACATTTTTCTAACCAGTTATTTTTCTTATCACAAAAGCAATCAAAAAGCTACTCTAAATAAAGCCAAATTTTACATTAATAAATAAACGATTAGATAAACGTTCTGAAAATCGAACCAGACAACAAACTAGAAGATGAAAAGGTTCACGGTTCGACTGGTTCGACCGGTCGAACCGGGGTCCAATAGATAGATATACAAGAGCCTCTTAATTATGGAACTCAACTTGGTCTGCTGGTAGAGAATTTTGGCTACTAACCAAGAGATCTTGGGTTCAAGTCTTCCATATATGAAGTGTGTGTGAGTTTGCCTTAATTGACCTAAATGTCCGGATCCCCCCTAAAAAAAAAAAAAAAAAAAAAGCTAAAGTTTGGTCATTGAATTAATTAAAAACAAAAGTAAGCTCTTTCATTTTGTCTCACTCATCAAATAAAGATAATTAAAATATCTTTTGAAAAAGACCTCCCTTTGGAGGAACATTTTAGCCCATTTATTGAATTTTGTTCCCATCAATTTCATGTTGGAGCATAAGCGTCCAGTTTAGAAATGAACAGTTTTGGTGCTCATTTGCTCTAACTATTCACAGAGCTATAAGAACGTGGCTTTCAACAAAATGACCATTCCAATGAATAAAATTAGGGAAATTTACATACATACCATTTTATATTATTTTATTTACATATTTAACACTTAAAACTTTAATATTACATACATACCACCCATATATAGTTCATTTTCATATCAAATATGAGTGGTAGAAATAAAATATATGAATGATAGCTAGGAAAGAAATATGAGTGATATATTTGATATTAAAATAATATAGGATGGTATGTATGTAATATTAAAATTTTGGGTGCTAGATATGTAAATAGGATTATATTAAGTGGTATGTATGTAAATTTTCCATAAAATTACAGATCGATTGTTGTTCCAAACAGTATAAGTAAAAAGAAGGGCAATCAATGAAATGTCATCTTAATCAAAATAGTTAAGTAGCTTAACACAATGAAATTATAAGATGTAAAAACTGCAAACCTTCTAAACATATATTGTAGTTAGGGTTTAATATTTCATATTGTTATATTGAGCATCATCATTCCATGCAAATTAGTGAGGCATAATATAAACAATTTAAGTTTCTTTCGATTTTGTTTTACTATTGGATGGCTCGGCCCTGGCAACCAGAAGCTGGTCTGAATCTGCGTCTTTCGACTCATATTCTTATTGATTTTTTCTATGATTTTTGCTGTCTTCTTGTAAGCTATTGATGTGGCCCGTGTGGGGTTTTCTTATGTAACCTTCCTCTTTTAATGTATTAGTTGTTTAAAAAAAAGTTGTTTTGGACAACTTTTTCATTATTTTATTTTTTATATCTTAATCATACTTTTTATTTGCCCGCTACGCTTTGTTTTATGCAAGGAAGCTGTTTTGTATATATAGCAACTTTCATAAAAGTTATTTCCTCCACAATAATATTTTAACTACACTTATAAAAAGTTAGAGCCTTCCCAAATGAACACTTAGGCTTTGTTTGAGACGATTTTTTTTCTGCTTCTTAAAGCAACTTTCTAGTATAAAAATTTTAATATTAATTTGTACTAAAAAGCTGCTTTATGAAGTAGTAAGAAAGCTGTCCCAAAAAAAAAAAAAAAAGACGTCCCAAACAAAACCGTAATCACCACAATTGCTAAATATTAAAAAACAAGGAAAAAAAAAAGCTCAATGAAAGAAAGCTTATTCAAAATTTAAACAAGTTTTAAAACTCTTAAAGTGAAATCCTTCAAGAAAATAAAAATTAAGATAGAGATTAAAAATTATAGCAATATATAGAAATTTCTAGAAGATAATCTTTTCAATAATAATTTATCATCAACATGGAATAGAATCCAAAGTAGACTTAAGTAGAAAAAAAGAGATAGATAAATAAACCTATTGTAATTAAAATTATTTTAGAAGGGTTTTTAACTTCATTACCTAACAAGTTACCATTAAGAGATTGTTTCCTAATATACTTAATTTGTTGTAGGGTAATTCAAACTTTTTTTCAAATAAAAATAGTTTAGCTGAAATTTTATTAATGAGACTATCTAACAAAATAACTCATTTAATGCACCAAGATTGGCTATAATTGCAATGCTTCTCCTAATTAATTATTAAATTTATTTATTTTTAACATTTAGTCATACACATCTCATTATATATGAGGAAAGCATGCATAATATATACATATATTGGAATATATTTAACTTGATCTACTATCACATATTTCAATTTCTATTTTTTTGTACATTAACAATACCTCGATCACTATGTAACTATTGATTTTACATCATTTTATAATGGTTAATTATGTTTAACTACTCATTAATTACTCCCTTATCCAATATTAATTTATTTTACTAAAAAAAAGATGGACTACTACAAACATTTTTATCAATACTTTCCTCAGATTAATCATGCATACAACATTCAAAGATGAATTTAAAGATAACAATTCAGTGATATACCAAAAATAGATTTTGAAGAGATTATCATTAAAAAGAAGATAAATTTCTTTCCTTTCACATTCCAACGGCCGAGGAGAGGGCATCTGATAAAACCGAGTTGGAAACTTCAGGAATTAAATCGGAGACCATCTGAACTCCGATTTTAGCAAACTTATAGTCGAACTGAATGTCTCAAAAATACGAACCCAATGGCACCAAATTTGACTCAATCCGAACCCAAAATGACTCCAAATCAAAGACCTGAAGCATTTTGGAAGGTTTAAACCATAATTTGGATTATCAAATGGTTTCCAAACATAACATGCTTATAATCGACGAGCCCACGATTGCCGAATTCCGATTTCACTAAGACATTTAATTTCCTATTCATTTAAATTTTTTTCTTGGTTGATATTAGCTTAATCTTGTATTGATTCGATCTTAAAGAGATTTTATGATTTTTTTTTGTGCAATGAGAATTTTAATATCATATATTTAGTTAATATGTTGAACCCATTCTAGCAGAAATTAAGTGATTTGATGATTGAAAATCATTTTGAGAAGGAAAAAAAAAACTAATTCACTATCAAAATTTTATCATTTTTAAAGCTTATTATATCTGTCCCAAGTCCGAACGTAAAAAGTTGAAGGAAATTAAAAAAAAAAACTAATTTAGTCTCCACCTAAAAATAATTTTCGGCTCCGCCACTGCATGATATTCCCCATTTGATAAGTTGAAAAGATGAGCCATTAAAGATTTTCATATAACATAAAGGTGTAACCAGAATCCTTGAGCTGGTTGCACCAGAAAAGTAAGCCCCCGGGCCCCTAATGAAGAATCCTTATCAGCTCAATTCGAATATAGCAAGCCTTGCTTAATCAAAATTCTCCAAAAACATTCCTGAATATATTTTCCTTTCATATGAAAATATTATTTTAAGAAGAAGAACAAAAAACTGATCTTTTTCTTTTAGATCTCCGGCTGGTATCGCATGAAGAAGGGAGCAGATCAAACCACTTGCTTACACTGCTCAATCTTAACATTAATCAGTTTGATATTCTCCTCCGCCACCGTCTCTTCCATTTCACCCAACGTCACCTCAGCTCCGCCGGTCAACCCCTTGGCCCGCGCCGCCTGCCTGTCCCAATTCGTGCGGTCAATAACAACGAGCATGAGAAGAAGACACGTACCCTGCGCCGAAAGCAACCCAAGCCAAAGTCCCTTGAAGTCCAACCCGGCCCAAAACGCCAACCCGATGGCCACGGGCATACCGACCCCATAAAAGGATCCGAGATTTATATTCGCGCCGACGCGCGGCCGGGCGCTCCCCCGCAGCACACCACACCCCGTCGTCTGCGGGCAATTTCCGAGCTCGCATAATCCCAAAATCGGCAAAACCGATGCGGTGAGCCGCACAATCTCCGCGTCGGCGGTGAAAATTTTGGCCCATGTGTTCCGCACGGAGAATGCAAACAAGAATGCGGTCAGACCAAGCAACCCGCCGCAGGCGAGCCCGACCCGGGCAGCCCGTCGGGCCTTGTTGGGCCGGTTTGCTCCGAGCTCGTTGCCCACGCGGGTCGAGACGGCCGCGCTGAGGGAGTGGGGGAAAATGTAGATTAAAGAGGTGGTTTGAATGAGGACGCCCATGGAAGCAACGGTGGGTTGTGGGTGGAGGAGGATACCGCATAAGAGGACCATGATTTCGTACCACCACCATTCTAAGCAGATGGAGAAGCAGCTGGGGATAGCGAGGGAGATGAGCGACCGCCATCCGCTATCGTCTTTGTCTTCTTCGTTGGTGAGGGAGGTAACGAGATGGGAAAAGCGGAGGTAGAGGATGAGAAGAAGGACGACAATGGAGTTAGTGAGCACGGATGAAAGGGCGACGCCGGGGACGCCGAGGTTTAGATAGGAGACGAGGAGAAGACTGATGGGGAAATGGAGGGCGGCGGCGAAGGCGGCGGAGGCGGTGAGGGGGAGTGTGATGGATTGGGAGCGGAGGAATATCCGAATTGGGTGGAGGAAGGATTGGAGGATGAGGTCGGGGAGGGAGAAGATGATGAAGGAGTGGGCGGCGGAGGCGAGAGAAGGGTCCTGTTTGGTGATGAGAAGCAGGGGACGGATTGAGAGCCAGAGGAAAGAGATGGGGACAGAGGCGAAGAGGAGGAGGAGGACGGTGCGGCGGAGGGCGTTGGAGAGGAGGTGGGGACGACCAGCGCCGTGGGATTGAGTGCAGATGGGATCCATTCCGGTGGCGAGACCGGAGAGGACGGAGTAGCCTGTGATGTTGGCGAAGCCGATGGCCAGCGAGCCGCCGGCGAGAGGGAGCGGCCCGAGGCGGCCGAGGAAGAGCATGGAGATCATGGAACGCGAGTAGAGCAGAAGAGAGGTAAGGACAAGGGGGAGAGAAAGAGAAAGAAGGGATTTTGCTTCGGGGAAAGGGGAAGGGGGAAAGAAAGTTTGGAGCTTGGGGTTGAAGAAGGGGGCCTCATCGCTGCTCGAAGTGGTGGCGTCGATGAAGAGTTTGGAGATTGGAAACCGCAATTGGCTTGGAGGAGAAGGGTGGTGGTCTGCTGAGGAGGATTTGGGAAGGGGAGTAGGGGATTGGCACATGGTTTTTCTGTGTTATTAATGGCAAAAATAAGAAAGAGGAAGAAGAAAAGTGAGGAGATAAAAGGGAGGGAGGTAGCTTGAGGTTTTATAACGGAGAAGAGGGGATTTACAGAAGACATTCTTATTGCCGGTTTGGTGACTACTATTTGTCGACCTCTTGGTGGAGCAGGGGAGAACTGTGTGGCCTGCCAGCAGGAAACGGCTCTTAACTATCCTCCCCTTTTTTTCTCTCTCTAGAAAAGTTTTAGATTAGATATTTACTACTAGAAAAATAAATAAATAAATGATTATTATACCATAATCAAAATTTAATCAAAATAAAATTTTAAATTATTAAATTTTGTTTTGAACTCATAATCTCAGATATAAATCTTGCCTTTACTGAAGATTTAGTATTTCATGACATATTTTGCATTATATATCGCAAATTTAGATTTTGTTTGGGACGACTTTTTTACTGCTTCTTAAAATAATCTTTTAGTACAAAAATTTTTATGATAGAAAGCTACTTTAAAAAGCTATCACAAAAGGAGCCTTAATTCAAAATAAAGCACAACAAATCATTAATAATACAAATAAGAAAATTTTGAATTAAAATATCTCCTCTTATTAAATATGTTGGCCTAAATGAGGCCATAGTTTTGATATGTTATAATTAAAAAAAAATGAGTAATGAAAAATTACTAAACAAATATATTATAAATTTTTTGAATGAAATGTGAACATGCTGATTTTCATAAATTCTTTCATGTGAAATGTTATTCAAAGTGGTTTGGGTTTTGTTTTGTGCGACTGGACGATGATGAACGGATCCGTCTGTGTGCCTTTCTCCCGTGGATGGCCAATGGGTTACGGATCACTTGTGGTATGTCACTTGGCATGGCAGTTTTTGTTGCACCCTGCGTTCACTTGCGTTTCCTCTGATTGGCAACCGGGGAGAATTTTCGACGACCCTAATGGCAGTGGACATCTGACTTTTTCTACTCTGAAGTGTTTTATGTCCTCGACGGATTCCGCATTTCCCGAGTCCTATAATTTTTTGAAGCCTATTTTTTGACTTTTTTCCTTTTGTGTATGTAGTTGTTAGCCAGTTTTTTACAGGCTATTCTTTTTGTAACCCCTTAAATTTTGCTTAATCTTAATATACGGGCTTGGCCCCAAATTTTCCCAAAAAAAATTATATAACATATGCAAAATTATTATTTATCTAAATAAGAAATTTTCTAAAATAATTAAAATCTCTCTCTCTCTATATAGTACATGAATTATTATTTTGTTAATAGAAAACAGGCGCCTAACAATTATTTTATGGAAAAATAATGTATTTTTTATTATTTCATAATAATAATAATAATAATTGCGATGGAGGGGTGGGGCCGGGGGTGAAAGGAACAACATTGATAAGAAAAATAAAAATTGAATTTTTATGAAATATAGTACCAATCAACAAATGTGTCCTAGTCTGTTAATCCTATGGTACTCATCCAAGTGGAGGCGTGTAGGGAGCATGTTGGAATAGGAGGAAATAAAAAGACGAATAAAGGTTCTAAAGAGGACGTTTGATATATGTCTGGCATGTTGATGAAGTCAGTACTCATGAAATACTTAACAAGATTTCTTAGCTAATTTGCTTTCTCTCATGCACTAAAATGCAAAAGAAGGATGTGATGCTTCATTGAGGGACCAGTTTTTTTAAGCAAAAAGTTATGCTAAAAATATTATTAGTAGCAATAAAATTTAATTAGGAAGTCTCATTAGGGGGCTGTTATATATATATATGACAAAAAAGCGTTCCTGCATGACACAAAGGATTATTTGAAGGATTAGTGGATGACTGGATGAATCGGTGGATGATAGCAGAAAGTTCATACTCGTATGTAATACTCTCCTTCTATGGTTGATTTTTGATATTCTTAATAGACATTTTGGATGAAAGAGAAGATAGAGGTGCGAGTGTACATTAGGGCTTGGTGTTCATGTTGGTGAGTTGAAGATTGGAGTTGATTGGCATAAGCTTGATAAAGCCCTTAGGGACTTTGTCTTGAATGAAGAGAGAATTTTCTCAAAATGCTTTATTCGCATATAAAAGATTGGATTGGTGTTTATGTGGATATATAGTCGATTGATTGTCACAAAATATCATTACAATTGTTGGGTATTAATATGGGAGTCGTGCAGTAATTAAGTGATCCAAATTAATTCAATGACAGTGAATACCAAGTTCTTATATTCTACCTTAGTTAATGATCTTGAGATGACATATTGATTTTCCATTTTCCCAGAAATCAAGGAATCTCCGATGAAGATGCAACATCCAATGATTGATCTTTGAGTGCTGGGACAAGATCCCTAATATGCATAATTTTTTTTGAAAGTTTTAAGGAAAAACAAGAGAGAAATACATCTTACCTTTGAGTCAATTTGAGTTAACGTAATGAATGGTTGGCTGCCATTAGGCAATGACACACAAATTGATTGAGCTTTGAACAACAAAGGATGACCAAATGTTATAAAGTAAAGTATAAGAGTAATCCCTGGAACTTTGATATTGTGATGCATCAACCAATAAATAAAGGTTAGATGCATTTATTTGTTACTTGAATCCTTAGGAATTTTTAAGTATATTAGTTAAAATTGTTGCATCTCCCAAAATTTGTAGAGTATATTATCACTAAGCTAAAATAATGCATTTGCTAGATTTAGCGATCTTAGGTCCTTGGAAATATTTTAAATCATCCAAGTTAGTAAGTTTGAATTGAGTGTTGATGAATGATTTTAGAGAATTGATGATAGAGAGGCAAAGTCCAGTAATGATGATGTCTTGACATAGAACAATAATGTTGAGTGCAGTCAAAATTGAATAAAAAGTTGGAGAATAGAGTTCCATTGGCATGATGCCTTCTTTAGATCGTAAATAGATTTATGTAATTGACATACAGACTTTCCTTTAGTTTGAGATATATCTCCCTTAATAGTGTAGCAAAGTGGTAAGTTTGCGTAGACATTTTTAAATAGATCAACATTCAAAAAGGGATTCCTTATATTAATTTGATTAAGAACCCAAAATTTTGTCCTTGTTAATGTTAGAAGTATTTTAATAGTAACCACATTAGCAACTAGGGAAAATGATCTTAAGAAGTCCATGTTGGAAGTAAACCACACAAAAAAATAAAAATAAAAATAAAAATAAAAGTGTAGTGAAGAAGAAAGAACACTTGGATTTAACATGGAAAGAATTTGAAATTGGGAAAAAAACTACATAGCCATACCACATTAAGAAATTCACTATAAAAAAAGGAAGATATTATACAGATCTCTCTTATCTGAATCTTTCATTGTCTCTCTACACTTCTTTCTATATTTTACACTAAGAACAAACAAAGAAACATTTTTCAAAACAACAAAGGACTCAACTCTTCAAGTGAAAAAAAAAAGAGAAGAAAAATTGCTCAGCCTGGCTCAAAGCAATGCAACTCTTAGTTCTAGAGCATCACAACATTCTATTCTATTTGCAGTGTCGTGTCACTACATCTACAATGTCACAACACTCTTCTTTCTCTCAAACCAGAGGTTACAACACTGTAGCGCTCAAGTATACATTGCCATACCGCAGTACATTTGTACTGGCATAAAATTATATAAATATTTATGACAAAAAATAGCTTTCTAATATATTATAAAAGATTTTTGAATATCTTGATGGATAACTAGATCAATTTGTAGATAATAGCAGGTATCAAACAGGTTCAGCCTTACGGAGCTCAATAAAAAGGAGTGCTCACCCCATACAGTCCTCACCCTAGGGGTTCTAGGGCTTGTCCACTAGATCAAGGCTTGGTATGGGCCGACACTCGCCCTAATGGAGCTCATTGTATAGGAGTTCACCCTTGAGGAACCCAATAAAAGAAATATACATTTAGAGTGAGTTCAATTAGAGAGCTTACCTCAACTAGCTATCACTTGAAGGGGCATCTCGTCCTAGGGGGTTTTGAATCTCTCAATAGTTCTTCCTAGCTGAGATTATTTCTCTTCCATGCAGGAGGCAAACTTACTTGTGAAGCCCATAGTCATCACTCCATCAATTGCATTTGTCCCTAGCTTACAACCAATTTTATGAGACACTCACCACTTGAGTGGAGCATTCGCCCCTTTGAACTCAGCCAATATACTCATTTAGAGAACTCACCCTCGAAGAATCACATAGGGTACTTTCTTCTAAAGTCTTGCCTATGATAATCATTAGAGACATCTTGGAATTAAATCAGTAATATATAGATGGCCATGTGTGTACCCTTTAATCTATTTTATGTGTCTACATCATTCTATATTTATATGATCAATTATTATTTATTTATTTTAGTAGATATAACATTTTCAATAGCCCTCTTTATCTTATAAATAAGGGATTAAGATGCATATTTTAATTAACATGCCATTTTCACCATGTACAAAGATTATTTAAAATTGATGTTAAGAGAAACATCTACAAATAAAGTTGGAGAACCTCTCCTTTCTCTCCACTATCCTTTTTGGCATTATCTATCCCTTATTAGAAAGTGTTATACACCTCCTAACAGTGAGCAAATTTGTACCAACTGCATGAATGATTTTATTTTACTACATAATTACAATCACATTAAGTAAAATATTCCAACATGATGATATATTTATGATTGCAAAACTTGTTGTAATGACAAGTGACTGATATGCTTGTTGTAAATATTCATTGGTTTGCCAAAAGTTCATTTATAAAAAAGAAACCAACTTTTTTTAATAATCTTACTTATTGATATTTTATTGATTTATTCAAAGAATTGTATAATATATTTGTGCTATGCAAAAGGGCAAATCTCTTTATCCTATCAAGCATCTATATTAGATGGGTGAGTGGATCCCTTCCATGCAAATGTAAATTGGCACATTTTCACAAAGATACCTTTATTAAGATGTTGAAGTATATGTTTTTTCATCATCTCCTATTGGGTTGTGCTTTTTGTCTACTTCAAAAATATTATTAAAAAAATTGTGGTTGGTTATTATAAAAGTTAAAGAA